AGTTTCCTATACCTCAGTATACAAAGTTTTAAGGATGCAGATTACCAGCCAAAAAAAATGTGGCGGCGATCATACGGTACAAAGGGGTTGCATGGTTGTGAAACACTTAGTGCGAGGCAAGTGCTGGCTGCGCTCTGGACATGCCAGATGTTGTTACAGCCCGGGCAGTTCAAACTCCTTCTGTGTCCTTCCTCTATGCTCTAACATGAGCATGGAGGTAGTAGTAACATACTAACAATCAAATCAGTGTTTACGATCGCGTGAGTGCTTTTGCACATTAAAAGGGCACATGGTAGGGAAAAGAGTTCAATAAACCATATCGCATTTCTACCATTGTGCAAAATCACCCATACAGTATGAGCAATAAGGCTTGTGGTTGGCCCTTTTTACTTCCCACAGTGCCTTTCTACAGTACCATTGTGCAAAATCACCCATGCAGTGTGAGCGATAAGGCTTGTATCCAGTGCTACAGGCCCATGGCAGTCATAGGTTATTAGGAATCTGCAAGTGTATTATTTATTCATGCTATAGGGATTTCCTTCCGCTTCTACATGTAAGTCAATGAAGTGCATTGGTCTGAGCCCCGAGTGTCATGTCGAGGAAAGTAATATACATGTAGGGAAGCATGTTTTAGGGGTCACCAGAGTTTATTTGGCATGCCGCCCAGCCCTTAGAAATTTATAACAAATGCCCGCGAAGAAAGTGCAGTGGGCACGCGAGTAACATATTCCTTTCCAGTGTAGGCACCAGAGAGTGAGTATCTTGGGGTTAACCTGTCACCAAGAAAACTAGCTTTTTACGCTGTAATACATGTAGCTAATTTGTAGTATCTTTACCTTCGCAATCTATGATTCCATAGTGTGTGACCCGACTTGATGAATACTGGGGTCATAGCAGAACGCTAAATGAGTGATTTTGGAGTGAAAATTTACTGTCTAGATTGTAAAAGTTTCACATGAAGCGTACAGGTGATATTGTTCATTGTACATGTACATTGTACTTCAGCTATTTGTTTGTGTGGCGACTCATATGATTAACACTAGGGTTTCGATCTTCACTCCACATACTATTTGTTATTAGGTGCTGTCTGGAGGGCCAAGTCCATGGTCGCACACCTGCCAATTTGAGGAATTTGGGGAATATGGAATTTTATGGAAAGGAATAACAAGAGATTTGAACAATTTCATTGTAATCAAACTTAGATGTTTGAACCCTCAAAAATTGACGTATAAATAAAACTCTGTATAATTGAGACAGTTACATTTGGACTCTTTCTGCCCGTCTTCCTTTGCATCGTTAAACTAATAATTTAAGCGGACCTTAAATAGATTAATCTTAATAGATTGCCTGTCATGTACATTGTTCCTTCCTCCATGGTGTGTTCAAAGAGTAGTGGATAGGTGGAATAAATTGCCCAGTGAGAGTGCCATCCGAGCCAAACGACCACACTTCTCTTTTTCAAGCAGAGTTTTAAGTAACTTAAGTTTTTAATTGGCAAGTGAGGTCTCCTTAACCCTGCCATACATCTCTTCTAGATGACATGGAGGTGTAGGTGTGGCTTTCAAGGTGTGTTCAAGGTTGGAATTGTACACGTAGTAATATTAGTGTCACAGTGTGCTCACTCTACGGCCACTGCAACAGAAGGACTGGATGCAGGCAAGAAAATGATCGTAACAAAACCCAATCTATAGTATTCACAATATATGATATGAATTAATTTACAAAATTTCTCGATTCTATAATACAAAATATACACCATTCCGTATTTACAATCAGATGTCTCTCAAGTGAGTGTAGCTACAACTCGGAATTAAATTTAACTTATCAGAATTAAATTAAACTTATCAAATGAATGTCGATTCACACCCGCATGAAAATCAGCATTTGCAATTCAAGTATTTACAGGTAAGAACAGGTATGTGTGAATTAAAATTTTGAATTCACAGTAAATTCACAAACTAGTGCATCAAAGAGATACACTTGATAATTTCCAGTTTCTGTAATATATAAAATTTCAGCTCTGAAAAGCACCTCAAAATAAAAGAATTAGCAATCAAAGTTCCTCCCAGGAAAATAAGTATTCACAAGAAAACTTCTAAACAAATGTCAGTATAAACTCCAGAGAAAACAAGGTTGATTAAAAGTATGCCACAAGCTGGAATAACCTGAAAGGTTCAAGCCATGTACATGTAATAGTAGATCTTTCAGTCAAAATTCGCAAGTGTTTTCACTTCATGTACGTCTGCTCTCAAATTAAAATATCTGACATACAGTTCAACGTAATATCAGTTCGTCTCTCCTTGATTATAAGAATCTGCCCTTTCTAGCTTGCTCATCGACTCTGGTACATCTGCGGGACCACCTCCGCAACTTAGATGTGAACCCTCACTGCAGTGTGCTGTGACCAAGGTTACATTGGAATTCAAGAACCAGCCATCGAGCGTGACGAGGAACGGAACTCAACCAGTCTTTGAGCCAAGCTCAGATCTTCAAGGCCATCTAATTGAAGCAATAATTCACCAAAATGCCAAATAGTATAGTACAATAACAAAAATTTGTATCTCAATCTGTAACAGTCATTTCAAA